CCCCCTCTCCCTCTCCTCCGTACAGGAGCCTCATTTTCCCCTACCCCCATCGTCGCCGTAGCAGTAGCCTCACTTCCCAAGCGATGACCGGAGAGAGGAATCGATAAACCCAGTTCCTCTCCCTACCCCGAGTAGAAACTCCACTCGTGGTCCCCCTCCCTCAAGGATCCGCCCTGGATCCCCTGTGACCCGAACCAGTGATTTCTAAATCATGCTCCTGACTACAGATGGAAGTCCCAGTGGTTATAAGATCATCAATATCAAAAATCATTGGCGACGTACACCAGGCGATCATTCCTTTTTGCAGTATTTCGTGCAATTGTAAGATCGTTTAGAGTCCCCAATAACTAGAATTTGTGGCATACTGGTCCTCGAAGTTCAGGAAGTTAATCGTGTAACTGCGTGGTACTTGGATAGGGGACACCCCTCAAAATTTCAGCCTGCCAGCTTCCCTGGTCCCTGAGCTAGCGATTTTCCCGCCAAAAAACTTTCACGAGACCATACGTGAGAGTCACGCACACCTGGGAACTGAATTTGAAATCTTCGAGTTCTACGTGGATGGGGGACATACCCTCAAAACTTCAGCTTCCTAGCTTTTCTGGCCCTCGAGTTAGTGGTTCTCCCGCCAAAACCTTTGCACGTTCGTACGCGAGGCCCAGACGTGCGTGAGGGCTGGTCTCGCGGTCCTGGACTGGCACCTGTCCAGGGAACCCTCTGGCAGAATTTTGGCACCGGAGCCCTCTTGATTGCCGAGTTGAAATACCCGGACAAACGCGCGCGTACACACACACACACACAAATACACTCATACGCACACGTACACACCACGGTCAACACAATACGCGTTCTTGCATTTGCTTGTGTGCAAAAACGCAAAAATCAGCAAATCGTCCACATTAGATATTTTTCGTGAGATAAATTGGCCAAAAGACGCCGTGACGAAAAGAAACAAGCTTCCCCGCATTTTGCCATGTCCAGTCACTTTTATTCCACGTCTTCTCGCAAAAAACGCCTCGCTTTCGACCCTTGCTACGTCGCTAGCTGTTACTTCCGGTATGGATGATTCTAACACGTTCGTTGAAGCGAAAAGATGGACAACTTTCATCCACTTCCCCTCCGGATCCCACTGCGTTAGACGAAATCAAAAAAAAAAGTGAAGCACCAAACAGGGACTGGTAGCAGACTTCTGTAAAACCTTTCGCTGCTCTGACTGGCAAATATTAGTCAGTGTCCCCTCTGTACAGAAGACAGGTTCTGATCAAAGATTCGACAGAGCATAAACTGCGACGACCGTTTCTTCGCGGTCCAGCAATATTTCTCTGTACCGTTTAAAGCCAAGCAAAACAAGTATTTAGGAGCAGCATTCATTCGGCAGATTTACAAAACAACACAACAATATAAAGCATTTAAAGAAAGGAAGGCAATTGTGGAAGAAAAGCGATAGAAGCAATCAAAAGGGCATGTTCAGCTCCAACCGCTCAATGCTCCCTTCACTGTTCGTTATACTAGAAATGTTGCTTGCGCCGTAGGCCTTTTTACTGTTCCATCTTATCGCTCTTGCATACTGCTCACGATGACAGGCCGAATCATTACGTGGAAAGAATTCAGTGTGGAAAATGCGGGAAGGTGGGATATAAATTCTCCTAGAAGGTTCGAGTCTGTTTTCAGGACCACTGATTCCTTATCATTAGCGACGGCAATAAAATAACATGTGGCGTATCATTCTGCTTTTTTGTAGGTCCGC